GAGCCAAGAGTGGAAAGATTGAGTTCTGTGAGCACTGTGTTCTTGGTAAGAAGACGAATGTGAAGTTCGGGACGACCATTCATAGGACGAGGGGCATCTTGGACTACGTGCACACAGATGTTTAGGGTCGCACTAAGACGGCGTCACTTGGTGGTCGATATTGGTTTGTCACATTTGTTGATGACTATTCTAGGCGTTGTTGGGTGTACACCATGAAGCATAAGAGTGAAGTCCTAGATTTGTTTGTGGAGTGGAGGAAGAGATTGGAACTGCAGACTGGGAGAAAGATCAAGACGTTGCGATCCGACAACGACGGTAAGTATACTTCAGACCCCTTTCAGCAGCTATGTCGAGACGAGGGCATAGAGAGGCACTTCACAGTTAGTCATACACCGCAGCAGAATGGGGTGGCGGAGAGATTGAATCGGTCTTTGTTGGAGAAGATTCGATATTTATTAGCGCATAGTAGTTTGGAGAAGATCATTTGGACTGAGGCACTTTCTTATGCGAGCCACCTCATTAATAGGTTGCCTTCATCTGCAATTGAGAGGAAGACCCCTATGGAGATGTGGTCGGGAGAGACAACGCATGACTATGACCAGCTTAAGGTATTTGGTTGCCCTGCATATTATCATGTTAAAACTGATAAGTTGGAACCTCGAGCTAGGAAGGCCATATTTGTAGGATTCAAGCATGGTGTCAAGGGATACAAGCTTTGGGATCCAGTTGATAAGAAGATTGTGTTGAGTAGAGACGTCATATTCGATGAGGCTTCTATCTTGAAGCTTCCCAGCTCTCATCAGATGGAGAACGGCCCGACAGAGGAGATATCGCAGGTGGTGGAGATTGATGCAGCTCCACAGAGTCTAGATAGTATAATATCCATTAGAGTGCCGACTGAGGTGACGCCAGGCGAGCACGACGGTGATGCGGATGATAGGGGTACTCATGAGCAGGATCAGGGACCAACGGCTTAGGTTCAGGATTCTATTGCGGCACGGAGACAGAGGAGAGACATACGGGTGCCAGCACGGTATGCCGACACAGTTGCATATGCACTTCAGGTGGAGAGTATCGATGAGATGGTGCCTACTACATTCAGAGAGTTCGGAGGCTGATTCATGGCAGGTGGCTATGCAGGAGGAGATGGAGTCCCTTCATAAGAACGATACATGGGAGCTTGTTGAGCTTCCAAAGAGGCGGAAGGCGATTGGGTGCAAGTGGGTGTACACGAAGAAGGAGGGCATTGAGGGCACTCCAGTGAGATTCAAGGCTAGGTTGGTTGCGAAGGGCTATGCACAGGAGGAAGGTATTGATTACAATGAGGTTTTCTCTCCGGTGGTGAAGCACTCTTCGATTCGGATTTTGATAGCTTTGGTGGCACAGTATGGTTTGGAGTTAGATCAGTTGGATGTGAAGACGGCATTTCTTCATGGTGATCTTGATGAAGAAATATATATGACTCAGCCATTGGGATTCCGAGCTACAGGGAAAGATAAGTTGGTTTGTAGGTTAAAGAAATCGCTATACTGTTTGAAGCAGTCTCCTCGACAATGGTATAGGCGATTCAATGGTTTTATGCTTGGTCATTCGTACGATCGGAGTCAGTTTGATCCTTGCGTGTATTTTCACAAGTTGAGAGGAGGTGCGTACATTTATTTGTTTCTTTATGTCGATGACATGTTGGTTGCCTCTAGTTCCAGGTCATCTATAGATGAGTTGAAAGTTCAGCTTTCGAATGAGTTTGAGATGAAGGACTTGGGCGAGGCGAAGCGCATTTTAGAGATGGAGATCGACAGAGACAAGAAGAAGGGCAGGATTTGTTTGACACATGTGGCTTATTTGAAGAAGGTTCTACAGCGATTCCATGTTAGCATGGATACGAAGCCAGTTGGTGTACCGTTGGGAGCTCATTTGAAGCTTTCACCTGGCCTTTCACCGAAGTCAGTTGAAGACCGTGAGTTGATGTTGAAGACTCCATATGCCAGCGTAGTTGGGAGCTTGATGTACGTGATGGAATGTACGAGGCCGGATTTGTCACAGGCAGTGAGCATGGTGTCGAGATACATGCACGATCCATGAGTGGGTCATTGGGATGCCGTGAGATAGATTTTGAGGTACATTCTAGGTACTCTCAATGTTGGTTTGGTTTATGAGCGGGACACTACAGGTGGGCAGCTATGCATTGGTTATGTTGATTCGGATTATGCCGGGGATTTGGATAAGTGCCGGTCTACGACGGGGTATGTGTTCACTTTGACCCGTGCGCCGGTGTGTTGGAGATGCACCTTACAATCGACGGTGACTTTGTCTATGACGGAGACAGAGTATATGGCAGTTACGGAGGCTGTGAAGGAGGCTATTTGGCTTCGAGGACTTTTGGAGGAACTTGGTATATCGCAGAGGTCCGTCACTATTCATTGTGATAGCATGATTGCTATCTATTTGGCGAAGAATCAGATTTTTCATGCGCGGACGAAGCACATTGATGTTCGTTATCACTTCGTTCGAGATGTTCTTGAAGATGGAGATGTGGAGATTGTGAAGGTTCACACGAAGGATAATCCGGCGGATATGCTCACAAAGGTGGTTCCGAGCAACAAGTTTGATCATTGCAGAAACTTGTTGAATATTTGTGATTGTTGAGGCCGTTAGCGGCCATTTGGATGAACTACGGGCGGCTTGATCCCTTGGGAGAGGGGGTACATAGGCAACCATGGTGGTGCAGCCGTATTTGGAGAGACGACACATTGATGCTCTTGGTTTGGTGTCGGCTCAGTTTTGGCAAAATTCGCCGAGATGGAGAATTGTGGAGAAATCAGAAAAACCAGATTTTCTGGTATAAGTCGACTCATGCACAAGGTTAAGTCGACTTATGGTAAGTCGACTTGTCAGTGTGCACAAGTCGACTTACGATCTGCACTGGAGTTGTGTTTTTTTCTCTCTGCCAAGTCGACTTATCAGGCCTGATAAGTCGACTTACGAAGTATGCTCCAGTTGCTGTTTTTTTCTCTGCCAAGTCGACTTATGCTCTCTGTTAAGTCGACTTACGATGGGTTTTTTGCATAATCAGGTTTCCTGTTTGCAGTCTAATTGGGTTTTTGTTTTGATATAAATAGGGAAACGATTTATTAGGGTTTTTTTATCAGAGATTGAGGAATCTTTTGAGCATTGTGAGAGGGAGATATTGTGAGCAAGGTGAGATCTTTGGTTGAGGGTTAGTTTGAGAGTTTTGTAATCATTTGTACTCTCATTGAATTAGTGAAATCTCTCCATCCTCTCCCCGTGGACGTAGGCAAGTTGCCGAACCACGTATATCTCTGTGTTTGGTTTGATTTGTCGTAATTGGCTTGATTTGTGCAAGAGTGTGGCTTTCTTCTTCCGTGATCACAAGTTCGTTGTGTGTGCGTGCAACGCTTCCGCATAGGCGCGCGACAAATCCTTCATTTTTTTTCAAATTAATGGAGCTGGAAAGTATATATATATTAGATGAGAGCCAAAAATTTGTTTGTTTTTTATAGATGGCGATGATCTGGTAGTGAAAGCTAATTTTGTGTATACATTTCAATGAGATCATTATATTTTGTGACACCACTTTCTCCAAGCTAGGTCTGCCAATGCTTGGTTGGTGTCCACGTGAGATACTGTGTTTTGTCACGTGATGCCCTCTTCTTGTGTCGCCAAATCCATGACTAGCCTTACAGATTTGGTGAGTAAAGTCGGTTGCAAGGCTTGAACATTAATTTAAGGAGGAGGAGAAAATAAAGTTCTTAATTACAGCCATTAATAGTTGGTTACAGTATTATCGATATTATATAGTAAGTAGAAATGGATTATATTGAGATATTTCGGGCTTGTTGCTAATGTGACCCCCATTCGACTTGTGAGGTATGATTTGAATATGCCGGTAACGTGCGTTTGTAAAAATTTAGATGTGTCATGTCAAGAACATACCATTTAAAAGCGTGATGAAACATACTAATTATTGTTTACTCTAATTATATAATCTATAAAAAAAATTCAAAATTACCACCTTTTATTAAGATACTTACATTTATTCATAATTGGAGAAACCGATATTTATACAGCCTTATCTTAATAAAATGACCCAAATTAGAAAGACCTTAGCGTAGGGATGTTAAAGTATCTGTATCTGATGAAATATTTGTAACAGTATCCCCATTAGGATACAGATGGTTACTCAAATATATAACCGTTAGGATATGGTTAATGATACGGTTTTGTAGTGAAATCTCTGTAATCGTATCCGAAATATCAGAATATATATATTAGTCATATTGTTACAATGGTTTTAATCTTTAGATTATGGATTTGAGGTTAATTTTGATGATCAAGATATCTAATCTTAGCTTTTCAGATATAATGTATATATTAATGAACTTTTTGTATCACATAAACTATATTTTTTTAACAGTATCTAATTTTTCATATCCGTTTTATATCTATTTATATATCCATGTTCCTATCTGATTTTAGCGGATATAAATATAAAATTGTCTTATCGAGATATATCCATATTCGAATTGAGTAGCGGATATGGATATAATAAAGGACAAATTTTCAAAATCAACCATTTTCGTAATTTAAATAGCAAAATCGACCTCTTAGAAATTAATTCAGCAAAACCGACCATTTTCTTCTGAAAAGGGTCGGTTTTGCTGCGGAAGAAATTTTACGACATACACGGGACTGCTAGTCCCGTGTATTTCGAGACAGTTTCGAATAACACGGGACTAGCAGTCTTGTGTTTTTTGCAGAGACTACAAAAATGAAGTGCACGAGACTAGCAGTCCCGTGCACTTTACAGAGAGTCACAAAAGAAGTGCACGGGACTGCTAGTCCCGTGCACTTCTTGGGCGCAATGAAATGCACGGGACTAGCAGTCCCGTGCATTTCCTGCACATTCACAACTGTGCATGTATTTCTGCTACGGGAAAATTCCCTGTACAAACTCATATTTCAAATGCAACAATCATAAATTACACCATTGCATAAACACATATATCAATTCCCTGTACAAACTCATATGTCAATTCCCTGTATAAACACATATCAAATCTAAAAATCATAAAATACACCACAAACTTACGAATCCAAATCCAACAAATCACGCCACAAACCCACTTACAAATCTAATAAGTCACACCACAGTCTCAGCTACAAATCCAAAAACCATCTATTGTCCCGAAATACGTTTGTAAGGTACATATCAAAATAGGATTGTAATTTATATAACAATACCGATTAGCTTACATACATCCAAGAACTCTTCTCCTCCTCCTTTTTCTTCGGCCTCCTCTATCCCGACCTTTGATGAGTTCATGATCCGGTTGCGTTTGTGGTTGTGACGGTCCAGCTCCATCGTCAACACGTTGGGAAGGCCCAGCTTCATTGTCGTTTCTGCGTCGTCCTCGTCTATGTCGTTGTTGACGTGTGTATACTAATTGCGCTACCTCTCGTCCATCATGAAGGTCTTCATGAGTTCGATGTAAGGCTTGGTGAAGCCTCTGCATTATCGACTGATATATTGATGCATGTTTCTGTGCTTCGGGATATGTACCTGCGAGAGATAATTCAAAAAAATCCGAAATGCAAAAATTACTTTAAAATTCAAATTACAATATGTAAATTTTATATTTAATTCTATATTACCTGCTCGAGCCAATTCCAAGCCACGATTTGCAATGGTTTGAACATCATCTATTGCTGATACCTGCAAATTAAAAAAAAACATAATTTAGCAATATTGAAATATTCTAATAAAAATGAACTTAAAATACATTTGAAAATACTTACTAATTCTCTCTCATCTATACCCCGAGGCACATATCCTCTTTGCAACTCAACCGGGGATGTGGTCGCATGGAGTATCCATCTTCTAGTTATCCTCCAATACCAAGTGTAGTAATCTGATTCCTTGGGAGTTGGCTCGATTTGCTCAACAATACAAAAATATCTATTATTTCATCTGTGTATATAATTTTGATGCTCAGCTGCCCAGTCCTTTTGTTGACCTCCTTTCTTCGCCTTCCTCTCTATTTTTTCAACAAATTGCGGAACATGTTGTGCAAGACCAAATTGTCGAAGCACGCGGTCTGGTACATGCATTTCTACTATCTCGAAACATATTAGAGGAACTCTGGCTCTCCATATAACTGGGTATTCTGTGCATATCGGGGGTAGATGATCGAGAAATGGGGTGTAGGGCTCCCATTCCATGTACAGAGTATTACATATAATTGTTGCATATCAATAAAACGAAAGTTGATATATAGAAGAAAAAACTCATTTTTATAGAAATGATACCTGAAAAATCTTCATGCGGTCAAGCTCATTTCGGTAGAAATATAACTGTCTAGCCAGGGTCTTGTCAAAACATTTTTGGACATTCCATCTGTGTTAGTTTCAAAATTCAGTACCAAATGAATAACTACAATTATATTTACTACGTTAAAAATATAATACATGCATCCTAGTGGAATTTGTCCGTCTAATTGTAAATTCACGCATAGTATCGGCTTCAAATGCAGCCTCCCCCATGCCCATACTTGTAGTAAGTTGAGACACCCTTTGAGGTCACTATTTTTCATGAATGCAACCTTAGACATCTCTCTATATAGGTACGCCAAAACCGCACTACCCCACGATAACGCACCACACGTGTCCAAGTCCCCGATAAGTGGTAACCACCTAGCATTTTCACAACATTTCAAGTTATCAAAATAAGCTAAATCAACAGACATAATTGTAAATACTGATAAAAATGATACCTGGCATGCACTTTATCTTTACTCGAATCTGGAAATAATATTGAACCGATCATGTGCATAATGTATGCACGTGCATGTTGCTCAATCAATATTGGCGGCGCATCAAAAGGCAACAGCACCGAGAAGGTATCTTTTAGCCACTTCAATTTAATATTTCCTCCAGGCATTGACTCTGGAGCTACACCTAACAACTCCTCACACTTGTCCGGCCAAAAATGTCTATCACTGCCGGTAACGCACGGACCATCTATGCGGAGACCAAGTATCATAGCTACATCCTGTAGCGTAATAGTAGACTCTCCCATTCGGAAGTGGAAAGTGTTGGATTCCGGCCTCTACCTATCTATCAAAGCGGTGAGTAGGGGACAATCGAGTCTCATCCAACGAAGCTTTGAACATGTCAAGAAGCCGGCCCGTCCTACAGCTGCTATTATGCGCTCATCCTCTAGATGCCAACGGCTATGGCTGAGGCTATGATCAACCATAACAATATCCGGGCCTCTCTATAAAGCAAATGAATATATAAGAATACAATATTATAAGAATGCAATATTGAAATTATAAGGAACTTAGTTACCTCTGTAAAGGATATAACATGTGAACGGTGTCGAAGCTGGTCATATAGGACCCCATCACTAATCGGTCCAGGCTCCATGGTGTATATACCTGCACATACAATTATAACATATCAATAACCGATCCACGACTAATTATATTGTCTACATTAAAATAAATCACAATTTGAATATGTCAATTATTACCAATTAATTGTTATCTATTGAGTCTAGCTGGACAACGAGGTCGAGTATGTCCCGGTTGTTTGTAAAGACTATATTTTTTATGCTTGACAATTCCTTCTAGTCCTTGATCCATGATTACCCTAATTCGTACAGATCGTGGTCGACCTGCTTGTCTCTTGTATTGAGGTGGAATTAGTCATGGTCCAGCCCTAATTCGTACAGATCGTGGTCGACCTGCTTGTCTCTTGTATTGAGGTGGAATTAGTCATGGTCCAGTATATTCGGGCCAATACCGACTATCATCGGGTGGATGAAAACTCTCACTGTATGTCTTTTGATAATGAATTGTTGAATACAATGGTGAACAATACCGATTATATGGAATTCTCGCACCACCCGACTGATTGGAGGAAGCCGCAAGAACATGTGCACAAGGTATTTTTTTGAAGTTGTGGTATGTTACATGTGCTAGTGCAATCAACATCAAACAGTTTAACGATGTAGATACCGTCATAATCCTGTACCTGCCATTCATTATCATTGAATACAGTAATTTGACATAATCTTGCCGCCTTAATTCTTCTATGCAAAATAGACTCATTCTTTGGTGTGTAACGCGTTGTCCAGTCTACACCGTCCTCACGACTTTTGTTGAAGTATGAGTTTAGCCTATAGAACGTTCTTGCAACCAATGATTGTATTGGCATAGCTCGTGCTCCTTTAAGAACGCCGTTAAAGCACTCAGAGCAATTAGTTGTCATCATGCAAAACCGCACACCCTCATCCTTACATAATGCCCACCGATGCTCGAATTGAGGCTTCAAGTTATGTTCAATCCAATTATGTGCATCTAATGACAAAGACTTGATCTTCTCTCTACAATGCTCATACACTAATGTATCGATTGCACACCCAGCTTGCCACAAAAGATTTTGCAAATTAATCTCACCGTGTTTTTTCTTGAAATTATCTCTTATATGCCTCAAACAATATCGATGGTGCTGTGGTGCACCAAAACCCTCATGTAATGCCCTTATAATTCATTTCATCCTATCCGAGATAAAAGTAATTAATCTGGGCGCACAGACACTAGGAATCCACTTGTATATAAGTTCAAAGAACCACTTCCAACTAGAAGTATCCTCTACCTCCACAACTGCAAATGCTAGAGGAAATAAACCGCCATTTGCATATACACAGGTTGCCACAAGAAGCACATCTTTGTACTTACCATATAGATGTGTATCGTCAATGCTCAATAACGGACGACAAAAAGTGAAGCCCTTAATAGCCGGACCAAATGGCCAAAATACTCGAGTGAACCTCTCCATCCCCGGTGCAATCTCTTCAGACAATATTTCATATTTAGTACCCGGATTATTTCGCTTGATAGCTTCAAGATACTGTGGAAGTAATTCATAAGATTTTTCCCAATCTCCAAATATTTTCGACAACGCTTTCCTCCTTGCATCATATGGCTTATATTTAGATATCTTAATGCCCCGCATATCATATACCCTTTGAAATATCTGACTTGCATTTAGATCAAGTTCAGCTCTAACTTCAGGCATAATTAGCTTACATATATAAGAGGAAGATGCAGAATAATGATCGATGTCCACCGGCGGATTGCAACATGTATGAAGCCCGCAATATCTAGATATTACAAATTGCCCATTTGTTGATTTCCTCACAGTGGTATTTAGCAACCAAGGACATTTCCTGTTTCTCTCATCTTGCTCATTTGCATGCTCTACTTCATTCTTCTCGTTGAAATAACATTTTACATAGTAGTTGGTTGCATTAGTTTTTACAGGCTTGAATTTGACCTGATTTTTTATAGACCATTCTCGCACCGCAAAGATCAATGCTTCCTTGCTCTCGAATAGGTCCCCTTTTTTAAAAGTGAAGTCCTCAGGCCGTTGAAAGTTTGGACCAACATCAACAAATTCAGCTTGTGAAGTATTTATCCAATCTTCATTATGAAACTTGTCCGGCAACGGATCTTCAGCTTCCACATAATCATTGTTAACATTAAATTGATCCATCCAACGAGAATCATCATCGATTCCAACTGCCACATGCATGCTATCAATTTGCACGTCTTCTTCTTCAATATCTTCTGAGTCATCATTTACTTCTTCTTCTACAATTGATCCGACCGGTAGATCACCCGTAACATAGCCCGATGCGTCGTTAAATATAGTACTTGACGTCCCACCAAGAGAATGCCCACTTAAATATTGTAGTTGGCACCACGGCTCTTGACTTGGAGATGTCATAAAACCACTCGACTCATTGTCTAAGTCCATCATCCGAGAAAACTCTCCTTGTGGTCGTGAAACTTGGGCAAATTCTTGAATCGGATACTTCTCAATGAACAACTCAACTGACACTTGCTTCTCCACTAATTGTTTCATGTCATTCAATTCCTCATCGTCGGTAATCGCCACAGCAATAGTTCTACTCTCATTTATCGGACAATTGAAGAACACTTTAATTGCATACCATGCTTTATTAATTTTTGTAACTCTGTGTATTTCATTCATCATTCCATCAAAATTTAATGACTTAGATAGCATAAATATTTTCCTAGAACCTCCCTCATACATCGACATACTATTCAATCCGACGCCAAGGCTCCCATTGAAGAAGCAAATAATGGGTATAGAGTTTGCCATCGAAGCTGAAAATCAACAGTCCATCATATGTAAATAATCTATTATAACTGGAAATATTAATCTTAATTTAAAGTCAAATTTAAAACCCTAATCTCAACTACAAAGCAAATAATTGCTAAATTCCCTAATCCCAAATCACATTATTCATGTCTAAACCCTAATTATGGTTAAACCCTAATATCAAATCACATTATTCATGTCTAAACCCTAGTCCCGTGTTATTCGAAACTGCCTCGAAATACACGGGACCAGCAGTCCCGTGTATGTCGTAAAATTTCTTCGACAGCAAAACCGACTCTTTTCAGAAGAAAAGGATCGGTTTTGCTGAATAAATTTCTAAGAGGTCGATTTTGCTATTTAAATTACGAAAATGGTTGATTTTGAAAATTTGTCCTATAATAAACATCATATCCGAGCCGTACGTATCCGAACCGAACGCACCTGTACTTACCTCAGCGGCTTAGCCTGGCTTACTCGACTGCTTTGAATTGAATGAATATCCAAAATGCAATGAACTTAAGCACTCACGTGAGTACGTGACTCGTGTTTTTAGTTACGGGGCCAATGCAGAGATCTCATCTAAAATTATTTTCGCCAGAGAATAACTCAGGTCCAGTTCGTGGGATCTTTGAACGACAATGGGTCAAACTACAGCTTGTGGTCATAGGATTACACCTTAAACACTTTTGATTATTTTTAGCATATCGATCATAATAGATTTTAATCAAGTATGACAACGAATATTGCTTACCACTTGCGAAGGATATTTCTATATAATACTTGCAAGTTTGGGAAAAATGTGTACATGCCCCAAAAACAGAAACTTCATGTGCTGCAGCCCCTCCTAGTTTTCCCCATGTGGTTCAGCTCCTTGAAGTGTGACATTTTGTGCTGCAGCCCCTTTTTAACAATTATTACATACCAACTAAGCTAAAATCCCCAAAATAACCTTATCCCTTCTTCTCAATCATTCAAACCCAGTTCTCTCTCTCTCTCTCTCTCTCTCTCTCTCCCCTCTCTCTTTAAAAACAAGGGCTTTCTAAAGCTCGTCGCTCTGGCCCTCTCCCTCCTCGCCGTCGCCACCTCCGCCCAGGCTCCCAAGCCTCCCCCGAGTTCGCCGCCGCCTCCCCTCCTCTCCTCCGCCCGACCTCGTCGCGGTAGCTCACCGTCGCTCCCCTTCTCGCCCTCGACTACGCCTTGATTGAGAGCTCTTGCTATTGGGCCTAGCTGCATTAACAGAGGCAACAGCATGTAGTGATGATGGGCAACCTGAAGAAAAATGAAGAAAATGGCAAAGAAGGAGATCATTAGACTCTACAGAACAAAACTCATTACAGAAAACTTTGCCT